CTATGATTTTCTTGTGTAGTTTGGCTCACTAAACGCGAAAATCACACTTTTTTTCATGGAAGCGTTTTCGAGATATCAATTTTCCATTGTTTTTTTTTTAATTTTCTGAGATTTTGACGTTTTAGAGTTTACTTCGAGTTCTGATTGATCGATTTGACCAAACAAAGAGTATACTAGTATACTCTTTAAAGTAGAATTAGTCTAATTGTCATAGCGAAAGAGCAGCGACTAATAACAGCTTATAAGCTCGTTACTGCAAGTATCAAACAAATACTAAAAATATTATGACCATTTCTCTCCTTTTATTTTGATCCTCATATAAAAAAAAATAAGACGTCAATATCAAAGCGGCAAAAGGCGCTTTATAGGGGCCGGCGCAAAAAAAAGCGGTAACCTTTATCCTATGTATGTTTAAGTAAGAAAATTTATCGTTACAAAGTACTGATTCACTATTTGATTTTGCGCCCCCAAAATGTTGCGCCTGCGTGCGTGCACGCACTGCACGCTCGCCAGGAACGGGCCTGACGAGGCCCTTCAAAGATTTTCCAGAACCTGAACAGACAGCAGTCACTGCGGCTACGTGAAAAAGGTATTTGAAGCCAGCGATGCCATTAGAATATCTAAATTATTTACGACATAAGCTTGCTAATATCTGTGAGAGACAATATTTGAGGAGCATCCGTGCAAAACCGACTATATACACTTTAATAAAATGTTGGCAAAAACTCTCGGTTTCCTGCAGGCCATGGCCTTTACAGATAAAAAAAAATCAAACTTGAGTTTTGTGGACTTTATGGTACTTGATTTATAAGACATACTTTCGTTTTCAAAAACTTTATATTAACGCCTAAATATCAAAACATGTTTTGTATATAGCCGGTTTTGCTCAAAAACCTACGAATAAAATGTGAAAAAACCTTTATTATTCAAAAATATTAACAAAATATATTTAGTGAAAACATGAAAAAACAGTATCGACATATCCAATCCACATGCTCATCATCATTATTATTTATTGGATATAGTCGGGTTTGCTATAAAAACGTGGATTTGGCCGGTTTTGCTCCTAAAGCTACCTTTTAAATGTGATTTTAACATGGATATAGTCGGATTTAAACCGAATTATCTTGGTTGTCGATAGAAATTAACCCAAAAATTACGAAATAAAAAACTGAATAAAATGGATTTAGCCGGTTTTGCACGGATGCTCCTCATTTATTACATAAAAGATAGTAATTATTATTGTAAATCTAAAACAGCTGTGAGTTATATATATTATTATGTCCGTAAATATAAAATAATAAAGCATAAAATGTTGTCGTCTCGTAAAAAATATATTAAATTCTATTAAATCCTAAGACAATCTATCGTATCGTAAACACAATAATAAAAATTCACAGTTTTAGTCGTGATAAAGGATGAAAAGTACATAGACCAGGCGGAGGGAGCTCATATTATGGCCAAAGCAATTAATAATAAGCGTTTAATTAGAATATTTTTAAAATATATTTTTTTTCATTTTAAGGTTAGGTTTAATGTACGAATATATAATCTTTCTTTATCTTTACCCCAGAGCCACACTGTATTAAGTTCACTTTTTTAAAGCACATTACATATATTTTGACTACATTTTCCGCTATTTTCAATGTTAAATTCGAGGGGACATTTAAACTTTAAAATCAGCGAGACCAACGCACAGACAGGTATTTGGACCTAAAACGTGGCGAAAAATCAATTTTGTTAATTTTTATTGCCAGATCTAATATTTTGTTTTAAAAAAGTTATCTTTTGGTGTAGTTGAAACTTGAATTGGCCATCCCAGTCCGATGTACCAGCTAGAACCTAGCGCTCTTTTACATCGTAGGTCTTCGTTCGCGACACTCCACAAAAAAACATTTTTGCTGTGTTGTTTCTTATGTTAAAAGAGATTTTGGTGAAAGAAATTAATATGGATGTCGTCAATTAAGGTATGTACAATATTTTAGGCAATATTTCATTTGTGTTATAAACTTTATTTATTTATATCGAGTAGTATAATTAACTACCTAGAAATTCTTAATTTTTCTCGTTTTCTTAAACAAACAATGGTGTTTTTAAATATCGGCAACACCTCGCAACGGCATCCGCAATACATTTTATTAAACTTTAGGATATCTAGAATAATTGCAGCCATCAAAGTCATCCACATGTTTCCACACCACGAAAAAATGTACCCTTAAAAACAGACACTTTAGTGCGATCTTATAAGATTTTTAGGTAAATGGATGTATTTTTTATTTTTTAAAGGGCACAAAAACTTTAATATATGTTTAATTTTAATATTTTTATTGCATTACTTGCATGTAAGTAGCTACTTTATAATTTTTTTATAAATAAATTTGTGAATACATACATTTTTTTATTTATAGTAAAAGTACCTAATATCACTTTTATACCTTTAAAAATATGTTTTTTGGTCATTTGCTACCCTTTTGATAAAGAAAAAGTGCCCAAATATTTTTGGCCACGTTTTAGGTCAAAATACCGGTCTGTGCAACGTTCAACGTTATATGGACGTTTTGTTCTGATTTTTCCTTATTAGTCGTTTTTAATAAGGAAAAGTCCTTATCAATAAAAAATTTATCTATTGTTATGTCCCCAACCGAACCACTTTCCTCAAATTTAATCACCAACCTTCGCAATGTCGTCTTATTAGGAGCATTAGCACGAACGAAAATTGGACGTAATTTTCGAACGGTTTCTGCATAGCATTCTCCATATTTAAGTCTTAAGAATAGTAACACGTTGTTCTAGAGAATACCGCTCCATGACTTATTATATCAGAATGTTTTTACACTACAGAAATCATATTTTTAAGGTTGCACTTTGAAAAAAATAGGAACAAGGGGAAATTTAAACCCGGCGTTCCTATTGAGACACCTTTTACATCCTCTAAGGGCCTGGTAGGTATGACTTAAAGGGACTCCTTATGGCCGTTTATATTCTTATAATTTAATTTATTTAGTAACACAATCCAAAATTGGTCGATTCCTATAGCGGTTTTTCTAAACCTTACAATAAAAATGTGTTTACTTGTGCAAAAACAGAATTTTCCAAAGAAAGTTCGCTGCTTGCGATTAACTTTATATTTTCGGAATAAATCTTGATTTTTTTCCTATAGAAAGGTGCATTTTCGTCGGTAATACAGATTCCCAAGAATGGTAACTCTCTTGTTTGTCGCTCTATACAAGTATTTAATTTATATAATTTTTAGATAATAATGAGTGTTTGTCGTAGAAAAAGTATACTTATATATATATATATATACACGGAGAAAAAAGTTTATTGCTCCCAAATAAAAAAAATATTTAAATATGGGACAAGGGTACAGTTTATTTATCCTAAATATATTTTTATTCCCGACATATAAAGTTTTACTAAAGTATATTTATCGTTATTATTTCGACTATTTAGAGGTAATAAACAATATATTCACTACAAATAAAAGTATTAGGTAAACAGTTTATTTGTCCCATTTTTTTCTCAGTATATATATTATGCCACTCGTTTATAAACTTTTCTAGACACTCATTTAATTAAACATTCGCTCGTGTCTAATTAAAATTCGTGACTAAAATGGCGTTTATCAAACTTGATAAATTATATACTATGAATTATGTTTAAGAAAATATAAATGTTAATAAAACGTTATTTTAATGAAAATATGTTACATTTAATTTGTGTTTATTACGTTATTCTTTTGGTCGCTTTAGTGGTGGATTTAGGTGGGTGTTTGGGGGGGTTAAACCCCCCTGAAATTAAATAAATTAAAAAATGACACTAAATTTAGCTTATAGCTGCTACTAAGTCTAAAAAATACAAAATATCAATATAATTTACAAGTAATCCAAAATTAAAAGTTTTAAATAGTTTGTACCACCAGTTTTTTTTTAATTTAAAGTTTGTCCAGATTATCAATATCCAAAATTACCAAAATCAAAAACTGCTTTTTTTTGCGACTGTTCTTCGTCCTTGGTCAGAGTATTTTTATAAAATAAGATTGATTCCCCGTTTGGCAGTATTCTAAACACTTTATACAAAATTCTTAGAAAACCGGATCCTATGGCCAATTTTGAGGTGGTACTCAGGAATTCTTTACCTTTCAATAATAGGGAGAATAAAGGAGAAGCTGATTATTTCAAAAGTATGATTGTCTATTGTGAGATTAAGTTAAATCAATGTGACATGGACAATCAGACAATTTTGGAAACTAGGTTTTTAACCATAATTTCTTTTTTATTTCCAGACATGTCTACAAAAACTAGAAGAATAATGGTTAATAACCAAAGTAAATAAACTAGGATAGCTTTTTAGGATACCTTAGAGCTGAATATAATTATAGGAAACTCTAATTACAAGTGGAGCTTCATGTCAATATTTAACCAAGTTCACAAATATATTTAGATAAATATTCAAAATTCTTTGCATCTCAAGTTGTTAAAGAAAACTGATCTTTAGGACATAAATGGTTTTTTACAAACATCAAGCATAATGGTCTAGTGGTTGCAGTTTTCTTAAAAATGAAATTAAGGATTCTAAAACATGCCAATATTAGCTGCGCTATCAGCAGTTGAAAGCTTTTTTCAAAGCTTTACAATGTCAAACTTGTATTACTTGGTAGGAACAAGTACAATGCTTTTAATGAACTATTTAACTTAACATTTCTTAGCTGCATGAACGCATGCTTAAGCCTGAGCTACGAATATTATGTTTTTGTAGCCAGCACCCCTCTGAATCTCGGAATGATGACTCATCGCCGGCGAGTCAGAGTTCGAACGATCGAGAGCGGTGCGGAGCTAGCTGGAATATTCGGGAAGGCGCTTACGTGACTTGGGTCACGTAAGCATTGAATATATAAGGCAGTGCGAAGCGTCGTAGAGTTAGTCAAGCTTTGGTACTCGCGACCAAATAAATTAAATATAAGTGTTATATTCACACTGTCGAACCGTAAAAACGTTAAAATTGGGGTCAGGAGTGCGGTTAGTTTGAAACTTTGAAAAAATGGTTTCGTTAATGGACTTAGGAGTGGCGGACCTTAAGCGGGAGCTGGAAGAAATGGAATGGAACAACTGGAAAAAAGAATGTGTTGCAGCGGCGGCTTCGAGAAACGTTGGAACAGGAGGGTGAGAATCCAGATACGTATTTATTTGAAGGCCCGTGTGATATGCATTTAATGTTGCAAAATTTAAACGATTTAAAACAGAAAATGCTGGAAAATTCTAGCGATTTACAACAGAGAATGGTAGAAATTTCTAAAGAACTAAAAGTCGATTTGCAACAGAAAATGGTGGAAAATTCTAGCGATTTAAAAATCGATTTACAACAGAAGATTTTGGAAAATGTCAAAGATTTAAACGATGATTTGCAACAGAAAATGCTGGAAAATTCTAGCGATTTACAACAGAAAATTCTGGAAAATTCTAAAAAATCTAAAAAAGAATATTTGTAACAGAAGATCCAGTGGCGGCTGGTGGATTTTGGGTATACCAATATTTCAGTTATTAGACATGGGACCCACACCAAATTTATAATAGTTTATAATGACATTAAACAGACAAGTTCGGCGCAAACAGAATTTAAATTGAAGTTTGCGCCTCACCCGCCTCCAGGCCCCCCTATTTAAGATAATTTAAATTAAAGTGGTGCAATTTATTATTTACTATAATTTATCGACAAATTTAAAAAAATTTAATTTAAAATCCAAATATTACAGATTTTATTCGATTTTAAATTTTTATTATTTATTTTATTAAAATAAAAAAATATTTAAAATGGATTTTTTGAATAAAATTTTTAATTTTTTCATAAATTATAGTTGATTATAAATTGCACCACTTTAATTTAAATTATCTCAAATAGGGGGGCCTGGAGGCGGGTGAGGCGACAGGAAAAACTAACTTTTTTTCGCAAACTTCAAATTAAATTCTGTTTGCGCCGAACTTGTTTATTTAATGTCATTATATACTATTATAAATTTGGTGTGGGTCCCATGTCTAATAACTGAGATATTGGTATACATAAAATCCACCAGCCGCCACTGAGAAGATCTAGATAATGTCATTGAATTGGAAGAGAAAATGGGGCAGAAATTTGACGACGCAAGGATGGAATTAAAAGAGAACGTAAGGATGGAATTGAATGATGTAAGGATGGAATTGGATGATAAATTGGAACTCAAAATATAAGAAGTAAATAGTAACATCTGTTAGTTTACCAATGATGCTGGCGGAATGGCGGAACAAGGAGCAGTGCCGGAGGGGAGCCGAGTTCGGATGAAATAACCACAGTTCGATGAAAAAACTTCTTGAACTAATTACATTCTTCAGTTTGAGGCAGCAAAAGCAAATAGCTGGTAACCAGAAGAAAAAGCTACAGCATTGACTCTTGTTTTACGTGGAGATGCAACGGACATCTTGCAAACAATTTCTCCCAACGAACAAGAAGATTAGGGAGCGTTGGTGAAACATCTGGAACTGCGATATGGCCGGACATATCTGGAACATGTGTACCATTCCCAACTAAAGAGCCGCTGCCAGAAATCAAACGAAACTTTACAAGAATTCGAGGCTGATATTGCACGCTTGGTCCGGCTAGCATATCCAGCTACTCCAACGACCGTTATGGAACGATTAGCGGTTTAAGCCTTTTTGGATGGACTTCGAGACAACGAAACAAGACAGCTCGTCCGAGCTAACTGGATGCATTGACTCGAGCTTTGGAATTCGAGGCGGCAAAGCAGAGCTGCAGGAGTCACCTATTTGTTATAATATTGTTTATCTAAAAATAAAGCAACATTGTAGAAAAACATGTATTTATTTAATTTAATATAATTAACATTTCTTACAAATTTTTTTAAAATTTTATGTAAATATTTGGAAAATGATTTTGCACATTTATATAAAATATTTTAAGTTTTATATTAGCAGGAATAAAATAATAAAATATCTTAAACATACCACTAGAAAAGCTAAATATATTAATTTCGCATATTTACAAATTCAACTATATATAATGAACAAGATTCTTTATTTAGATATAATAATATTTTTACACAATTATAATAAATCTAATTAAGTTTCCATTATTTATAAAAAATAAATTATGAAAACAAATAAAATAAAGATGTAGGGTTTGTTTCAACAAAAAATACACATATGAAGTTACGTGCGGTAGCCTAAACTAGATTCTGGTTACACAGTAACTTTTGCTGTGTGATGCGTGCCTTGCAGGCCCACGCATTCTTTAATTTTCTGCGGTGTGAGATCCAAAAGGATCGAAGTTTGAGTTTAGGTCATATGTCAAATTAATTTGTTCTTTGATATAAATCCGCTCTTGATAAGTTTTGCCCAGAATTTTATGAAAAGAGAAACCAACTTTGTGAAAAAATAAAAAGCAAACAAACTCTTTAATTGTTATTGTAGACAAGCAAATAAAAATAAAAATAATAAATTGAAAAAACAACAGTAAAAATAGATGGAATTAAATAAAACAATTCAAAATTAAACATATAAATATATAGGTTTTATAACATTATACCTATATAAGATAACAGAAAAATTAATTTTGTTTTAATTTATGTATACATACAGTACAGTAAACTGACATAGCTTAAGGCTAGGTGTGGTTTTTACAGTTGAATCCGAATCCACCCCTTAAAAAAATTGAGTTTCTTCCTTTAAGAGTTACAGGGTGATTTATGTATTTTGTCGAAAATTTTAAAATATCATATCTTAGGAATGAATTAATTGAATCGCATAAAATTTAATATACAGGTCATTTTAAAAAATTCTGGGCCGGCCCCAATATACCGCACATAAAACACCCTGTATGTTTATATATATATATATATATATATATATATATATATATTCTTATGAGTTTGATATTTTATTTAGATTAAGCAACTTTTGTATTTTTTCCAAGAAAAAATTAAATTCGTTTATACGCTCGTTCCCATAAATTTTCCAGAGGGTAGTAAATAAACGATTTTTTTCTTGAAAATTAAACATGATATAGAAAAAAGGTTGTATTTTTAAATGATTAAAAAGTTTTTGATATTTTCAATAATAACTTTACCACCCTGTTTACAAAAACAATGCTTTAAATAAAACAAGCTCATATAAAATTTTCTTCTTATTTTTGCGAGTTCTATCGACCACTAATTTTTTTCGATCAAAATCGATAACCGATAAAATATATAACGCATAAAATATACCAAACAAATTTTACTTAAACCTAACAATTCTAATTCAAATTCAATTAAATTTAATTATAGAAAAAAATTATTTCTGGTAATAAAATTATTTTTATAAAATAAAAACAGTTTTCTTCAAATTCGGTTAACATACTATCTCAAACTCAGCGGGACAAACATAATAAACATGATGTGTTAAATCATGTGTTTCCTGGGTAAAAAATGGGTCAATCCATTTAAAAGAAACAAACATGATTCAATGTGTATATCCCAAAAAAATTTGTACAACACTTATTTACCCAAACACAACATGCATCTAATTTTTTTTTCGTATTGGGTGCAAGTATAATGCAGAAATGTTAAGTTGAATATTTTGGAGTAAAAAATGCCAAAAAGGGGAAAGACTTAAAATCTTGTTCACTTTAAAGCGTGTCTCAAGTGGCATATTTTCTAGCAGACAGTGTAAAAGAGACAGTTATGCCAAATTATTTTAGGTGAGGGCCTCACCGTGAGGCTTTACATTTAAAAATAATATTAATTAAAATATTAAAAGCTAATTTTTCTTTGAAGGAATTCCATATACATATTATTTAGGGTTTAGAATTTTTTAAAATTTTGACATATTATGTGTGATTACAAAGTATAAAATTCCTTTAAATTTACATTTAATAATTTTTTTATGTATACATACATGTACATACATTTTATGTATACATACATGTACAAAGTACATACATTATACATTATACTTCATAAATTAATAAAAAGTACCTAACATGGTAAATACATCTAAAGGAAATTACTTTAATTTAAGAATAGTGTATTCTGTAACAAGTTTGTCACACGAGAGCGGAATATGCAATTCTAAATATGTTTCAGACTATACTTTTTCCAAAAAATACCATAGAAAAATTATTTTATTGGGAGAAAGTGAGGTTGTATCGGTCTAAAAGTTGTTAGATATTCCACCAGTGTTTATTCCGTGATCCGGTTATAAAATAATTCATTCTGTAACACTTTAAGGAATATACGTATGTAATTTTAATTTAAGGAATATACGTACCTATGTAATTTCACATTCAAAAGTGATATTAGAAGAACGGTCATATTCCGAAATAGGAGTAGAATCGGATGACATAATAACTTTGGGCGACATATCTGTATTTAAAATCTAACAAATTTTAGATGGTATTTTTTTGGAAACGTAGAAAAAGTATAGTCTAAAACACGGTTGGAATTGCATATTCCGCTCTCGTGAAACTTTTAACTCGAGCGGAATATGTAGATTTTTTATAAAATAAATAAATATTATTATTATTATTATATATGCCGTATTTCAAACTTGTTACAGAATATACTATTTTCGCAGGCACTAAAATAATAATTTTTTAAACTATTACAACAAAATTTAACATGGTGTATTTTTTTTCAAAATTGCGTTATTTTTTGTTAACTTAGATAGATTACAAAAAAAATGCGGTTAAACTAATCATATGCTAATAAAAACTTTTTAAAAGCCACCTCATTAAATAATTAAATACATAGTTATAGAGGAAAGTAAGCAAATATGAAATAGAATCCCTATTAAATAAAACAGTTAAAGATGCAAAACAAGGTTATTCTATTCACTCACTTTAGAATCATACTAATTTCATGTAGTCAGTCCGGCAATTGTTTATTTCTCGGCAAAAGAAAAAAAGAAAGAAAATGTATTATGTTTGTTTGTACATTTTTGGGGCGACTTGTTTGTGTGTTATTTTTGCAAAAGTCAAAAACAAATTTAAAACGGTCTGGATTAGTTGGATTTTTATCGCCAATTTTTTTTTGTTTTTAATGTAGAAAAATTATGGAATAATGGAAGATGGCAGATTCTGCCGCAGAAGCTATAAAAATCGTCGTAGTAAAAAAAATGGGTTATGTTTAACGGGTGCTCTGGGCTCAAAGTTACTGTGCTGGTTCTTGGATTTGGGAAGATATAGGTATAATATTTTTGTTGTTTCTTAGGAAAAAATGCAGATATTTCATACTTAGGTACCTTTTGTTATATTGGTATTTAAACAATTTTTATATATGTAAATAAATATTAAAAATATACTAATAATATTATTATTTATAATAAGTACAATTAAAAGCATTTTATTATTAAAACGTTTTCATTTTTGTAAAAAAAAAAATAAAATTTGGTTACTCCACTCTAATATTCCTATTCTAAGAAAGTGTAGGTATAATTTATAAACTAAACTAAAATAAAATGTCAAAAAAATAAATCCCTAAAACATTGTCTTATGAAATCACCCATATAATTTTGTACATATCTGACACCACTGCAAATAGCTGTCCTATTCGAAGGACGTCATTCTTGTTTCTTAAGATTTGTCAAAGAGCATATTTTCAAGCTATGACAATCCCAACATCGTGATCAACGATGTGTCTAAAGAGGTCCGGAGGCTGGTGCAATTCTGGTCATATTTCGAGAATGGTGTCCTGTTCGCACAAGCTGTCAGACAAGGAATGGCTGCTGCCTGGAATTGGTTCCGGTAGACAGTCGTCCAGAACTTCAGTCACGTCTTCAAATCTGCTACTGAAATAAAAAGACATGTTAAAAAAGTAAATTAGAATTTTGATATACAAGGTGTCCCTAAACTTAGTGGCATAAATTTAGGAGCAGATTAAGCAAATCAAAATAAGACGAAAATCTAAATAAATATTTTTCCTAATTAGGTATGTTTAAAAGATACAGGGTGATAAAGTGTTACTTATCATATCAGTTTTTTTAATATAAATTCCACTATGGTAGACTTGGAAAGGTGATTTTTTGCGAACAGTCACTTACTACCAAAACACATATTCAAACATAATTACAATTGTTCGAGTGAACGCAGTGTCGTAGAAACAGGGGTTGCTTAAGCTTATTGTCCCATACAAACTTTGAGGTTAGGTTTTTATACCATTTGATGCAATTTTTCGATTACTCAGTTCGGCTACTATTAAAAAGGTGTACCTCTCAAACTTCGATAAAATAAA